AGAGAGAGAGAGAGAGAGAGAGAGAGAGAGAGAGAGAGAGAGAGAGAGAGAGAGAGCTGGAAAGCTTCAGGACAGCAAGAACATAAAAGGTGACCAGGTGTGAGGTGCTGTCAAGGATAGGAAGATGAGCCCATGCCTCCGAGATTTTGCCATCTATCGTAGGACATGAGGTTCTCTACTTGTTTGCTCAACAACATTGATCCTTCCATCTCCCCCGAATAGTACGTACATCTTACAATCAATATGAGAATTTGTAACTGTATTTAGGTCAATTTTCAGTCTAGACTCACTGATAATGACATTCTGTTCGGATGAAGACAGCATCTACAAGGTGTCGAATGAAGACAGCATCTACAAGCTGGTGGGAGTGCAACACCTGTGAGGGCTCCATTCTTGAACTTCACAAGGTTGTATGCATGCATCAGGTTGCTCGCACCACACAATTCCGGGGTGCCCTTCGGCTACCAGAGGTTGTTGAATTACATCCACGGCTTGCTTTTGCCAAGGAGATACTATCTGTGACAAGATGGTGCCACACGTTCGTGTCCAGTTCTGTAATTTTACAGAAGTGGCACTCAGCATAACAAGCAATATGCCTCCTCCAGACCCTAGCAATTGTCCCTGTCGGCTGTGTGTCCGATTCTGAATTCAACAATGCGCGTTGAATTCGCGTTAAACTCCCGTTCAAACGCGAGTTGGACGCGAATTAACGGGGTCCGGGATGATTTTTTTCCTGGGCTAAAAATTATCCAAAAAAAAAAAAAAAAAAAGGGGTTGTAGGTTTTTTTGAGGACTACAACCCTGTATTTTTATTTTTATTTTTTGATGCTTAAATCTATTTTTTAAAAAAATCAAAAACATAAACACACAATGAAAAAACAAATACTAAAATGAAATAATTGTTTTTGTTTTGGGTTTCACACATATTTTTAAAGGGCTAAAACAAAAATATATATATTTGTGACGATATATATACGATATATAGGTTTAGGGTTGTAGATCTTTCAAAGTGTACAACAATTTATTTTTTATTTTATTTTTTTGGAACTTCGTGTATTAAAAAAAAAAATCAAAACCATAAAAAGCAAATTAAAAAAAGGAAAAAAAGACACACACACAAAATTGGGCCTGTAGCAGGTTGCATGAGTCTGGAGTCAGTTGGTTGAGGGAACCCACGTCCTGGGCCGCCTGTGTGAATGTATGGAAAGCAAGCCCTGGGCTGGATACGGGTACTGGGCCAAACACAGGACAATGGCAGTTGGGGGCATGCAACCACCTCAGGCCCAAGGCCTGTTCTCTTTCGTGCTGGCCTACTGGAAGTTTCCTGGGACTGAACACAGGCAGGCCACTTCGATACAGCAAAGGGCCTGCCTCCACATTGGGCATTCGGGTGCTGGCTGCATGTTGCGTAAGTGTTGCCGCGCTGTAGCTCGTGCCACTCACACGCTCACGGGCGAGCAGGAAGGAGCAGGCAGCCATAGCCGAGCTGCGCTGCTGTAAGCTGGGTGTGGCGCAGGGTGGTCCTTGGGTGCAAGTGGAATCTGTGTGTTGGGGAACGAGGTTGTGAGTAAGGCGAGACACACTCTCACGCGCAGGCACAGACACACTTACACTTACACACACACACACTTACAAACACACCCATACACACACACACACTTACAAACACACCCATACACACACACACTTACAAACACACAAATACACTTACGAACACAGACACACAGACACACACACACACACTTACAAACACACACATACAGAAACACACGCGCATACATTCATATTCATGCACAAACACACTCTCACGGCAGGCACACACAAACACAGATACGTGCACACACATCACACCTACACACACATAACTGGGGCGTTGGGGGTTGGGGGATGTGGGGGCGGATGGGAGGTGCTTCAAGGGTTGGGGGGATTTTTTTTTTTTTTTTTTTTTTTTTTTTTTTTGCCTAGGGCCACGTGTTCCGGACCCCGCACATCAATTCCGATTTTCCGAAAAGCGCGGGAGCGGCCCATTTTCGCGTTTAACGCGAATTCAACGGGATTTTTTTGAGATTCAACGGGAGTTTAATTCTCCCGTTCTGCGTTAAAAGGATACACAGCTTGTTGGCAAGCATTCCCATGTTGTGCAGACACTGTTGATGGTCGTTGCCATAGTGGACTGCACTATTATACGAGACACACACCTGTGGGCACCCTTCTTTGCAGGCTCCAAGTACTGCCTCAATGCCGGCACCACAAAGGTATGGAAAGCATTGAGGCTTGGTCTGGTTGAGTATATTACTAAGTTTATAGCAACCATGAGATCTGCACGCAACAACGTCTGGAACAAAAGGGAGCCGCGCTGCCTTGGTGCCAGAGGTGCTTAAATGCCTTCCCCCCACGAAAGTGGAACGAGACCATGGAGCACATCTTCATGCAGTGCCCTGTTGCACTGCTGACATGGCGTTGGTTGGACCGTATATGGCAAAAATTGATGCCAGATGTGGCATGGCCATGGTCGTGGCAAGCGATACTAACGGGACACTTCCCAGCGATCGGTACCTTGTCCAACTTTACGAAAAACTGGTATAGATTAGGCAGCTGATCGGTTCTCTGGGCCCTTTGGTGGCAGCGTTGCCTCCTCAACCTGGAGGGGGGTAGAGTGGAAGGTACAGAACTCACTGGGCATATCAAGGAACAAATCCACTTGGAAGTGTAGAACAAGTGGCAGCGTTGCCTCCCCAACTGAACATTTTTCAGAC